CAGTACGTATCTTTGGACAGATCATCCCTACAATTTTCGGCACACCAGCTACAGAAGGCAAAAAATACGCAGAAACTATGGCATACAAAAATTAGATTATCAAATACCTGTACTTCTGAATGACCACCCTGATCTCATGACCATTATTTTGGGTGGTATGTCTATACAAGCTTTAAAGAAAAACATAAATGTCTATCTATTGTCCCTTCAAAAATAACATGTTTTTTCAGTATATTTTTTTTTGTGCGCGTATGTTGTTTTTTGTGCAGCATCTCGAGATGGCTGGCTGGCTGCACTATGTTGTTGTTTGTGGCCCCTTTGTTTGTCATGTTTGTGCAGGCATAAAAATTGATGTGCCTCGTTGTTGTTTGTCTTAGGTGGCGGAGAGTCTGGTTTTAGTTCATTGTTTTCTCTTTGTATACAGTGTTCTGTACCGCTTATGGGATTTTATGTTTGATCTTTCATGATCAAGTAGTTTTCGTCATCTAAGTCTTTCATTTTGTCTGGCCGTGGTGATGGCGGGGGCTGTCGCCTTGTCAGGCATGCCGATGCCTTTTGTGACGGCCCCGCAGACAGCTGTATTCCTCGACGGTTGTCTAAATAAACTAACCTTTGAAACTTTGAGCTTTGTATGTGTGTAAAGAAGGAACTTGAACGTACCGCTATTAAAATTTTATAATTACCACGAACGATGACGAGATACTGATTCTACGGGACACTAAAATAGTTTTTTTTTTTGCGGTTTATCGCCCGTTGCGAGGAAAAATTTCTTATTTTTTTTTAATTCCTAAATTTTTTTTTTTACGTATATCGGGAAAAATGGATTCACTTTCCATTTGGGCGGTGGCTTCAAAATAGACATGCTTATGTACTTGCCATGTCCACTAAACGTTTTTTCATTATTTCAGTCATATGGGTTGTTTAGCGCTATATCTTAACTTGTGCGTACCAGAACTGAACACGTGGCGTTTATGACTTGTTTTTAATGAATATTTGTGAATCGTATGCTATCTCTGGAGTGATCGGAGAAACCATCAGTGATCACCTTCCAATTTATATGCTTGCTCACGTAGTTTTAAAATAAAACGTAGCCAATGCAAATAAAATATATTTTAAAAATATGAGCACACTTTACATTGAACGTTTGAACAATATCTAAATTGTGAAGACTGACGTGCAGTGCTATCTAGCCGATCGCCGAACGAGGCGTTTGATTACTTTCTTTATAGGTGCATTACTTTGTAAGATATTTATTTTTCTTACCGAGCTCAGAAAGTCCCCCTCAAATCTGGCAAACCTTGAGTCATGCATAAAATTACAAAATAACCAATACAAAGGTGCTCTTTACACCGACTCGAGCGCGCGCTAAAGACACTCCAATATTAACTTTATTTAAAAAAATGAAAGCCGTTTACAACTCCTTACAACGCCAGATTGGAGCGCAGCTCTTGAGGGGGAGGATGGAAGGATACTGAGGAATAGGTGACTCCCTGAGGTCACGTGACGCCAGGGGGGCCACGTGACCTCAGGGGGTTCATGTGAAATAAGAGCTCACGTGACCTCAGGGGGTCACGTGACCTCACGGGGCTAACCCTCATGACTCTCGTGAGGGTAACTCTTGTGACCCTCGTGAGGGTAACTATAGTAACCTTTGTGAGGGTAACCCTCGCGATCCTCGTGAGGGTAGCCTTTGTGAGCGTAACCCTCGTAGCCCTCGTAACCCTCACGAGGGTTACGAGGGTTACGTGCGGTAACGCTGACGGCGACGGCAACGGCGACGCCACTCAAGCCGGAAACGGGCGCCTAAGAGCTGCGCTCTAAAACGAAGAAATTTATTAACCCGCTCCTGAAGACAAGAAAACCCTGCATACTACAATAATTTGTTTGAAGGTGATAATAAAATGGACGTTCTTTGGAATTAATTAAGTCTTTATTCAAACAACGGTCGCTAAAGCAGAGGGTCAGAGAAATTAAAATGTATGATATAGAAGCAAGTGGAGTGGCTTTAGCAGAAAAAATCAGAGCATTTCGCTGAGCTTGTACAAAGCATACATTCAGAAGATGCTTCAAGATATGTACAGACTACAAAGGAAAGTTAGTCTGTTTTTCCTACGGATGAAAATAAAATACGTTCGGTGCTTGTAAATCTAGAAAACAGTAAAAGCTCCAACATTTGTAGCCTTAAAATTAAGCCAATTAAATATACTATGCTTGCTTGTTCCAAGCTTGATGCACATTTTTAATTGAGCACTAAACTATGGTACTTTTCTTAAAAAAACGAATGTAGCAAAGGTATTAGCTCTCTACAAAGTCGGAGATAAAAATTATTTGGTGAAGCATAGACCCGTTTCTATCTGACCTATAATTTCCAAAGGACTGGAAAAAAGTCGTACACAAAAAATTAACGGTTTTGTGAAAAATTTCAGTGCTTACTCCCTGTAGTAGTGTTTTAGAAAGGATCGTTCGACTAAAATTGCATTGATGAAACAGAAGGAGTTAATTTTTAATAGCATCCAAAAGGAGCTTGTAACACTGGGTGTATTCATTGATTGCCTGAAGGCCTTTGACCTCCTCAATCACGAAACCTTGATCCAAAAGTTAGGCTTTTATGGTATTCTTGGTATTGCCTTGAAATCGTTCAAAAGCTATCTTCGTGACCAAAAACAATGCGTGGAAATCGCTGCGAAACTATCTGACTTTATTCCACAAAAGGCAGGTTTACGTCAATGCTGCATACTGGTACCTCTTCAGTTCAATTTGTACGTAACGACACTATAGACATTGATCAGGATGTACGTTTTATTATCTAAGCAGTCGATACGAGTGTCTTTTTTTGCCAGTGAATCACAGAAACCAAAATATAGAAAGTGAAAATAAATTTCTTGATAAGCTAAATGTAGGGCTGGGCGTCGATTAAAAGTTTTCACCCGATTAATCGCCACCCTTTATTCGATTAATTAATCGATTAATCGGTCTCGTTAATTTCCGTGCATAATATTTCTAAAAAGTCAAAATTAATATTTGTTTTCTGTTTTTTTTTTAATTTGCGTAATATAAGGTAAAGGGCGGATTATGGATTTTTTATTGTGAATTAACCTTGATGTGTAGATAAGAACAGTTCAAAGGCACTCACACTCACATATCATTACTTCAGCTGCCTGATGTAAAAAGGTCTTTGATATTATCCGGCAGGAGGGACCTCCTTTGATTGTTTGCACAATAATCTCTGCTGTGCTAAACGGACACTCGAACGGCGTTGAAGTGGCCGGGAACATGTGTAACCTTCTGCACCCCCCCCCCCCCCCCCTCAACCTTTTTCAGGAGTTACAAATCTTGCCCCTACGGTTTACTTTATTTAGGCGACATCTTGAACTACGGTTTCCGTAGTGAAAAAGCCATTTGTATGGGAATTTTGTTTGTGTACAATAAACAGATATGAATCTTACAATATATAGAAGAACATATAAGAACCATATAAGAACAATATAACAACTATATAGTATATATAGGAACAATATAAAAATCTTATAAGAAACTTCTAACAAGTTTTTGATATCGTTCCTATATGTTCTTATATATCTTATATAGTTCTTATATGTTTTATATGCTTCGTATACGTTCTTATATAACTTTTAGGATTCGTATGTGTAGTTAGGAACTACATATATATAGTTAAAACTACACGCATATAAATGTTTCTCATACAAATGAGATTTTTCATTAGGGTTGCCCTTCATACAGATGTACTTTTCCACGTCTGCCTCGTAAAACCGTTTATTTTTTACTTTATTTTGGTTCGTTAAATATTACCGATTAGCCGGTTAAAAAAATGCATCCAGATTAAAGCATCAAATGATTAATCGGTAGGTTAATCGATTAATTGCCCAGCCATAGCTAAATGCTTTGGACGAAAGCCAATTCATTGCAAATAAATGCGAGCAGAACGAAGGCAGTTTTATTTAAAGCGTGTAGGACAAATTGCGTTCATACGGACAATACTTTCTTAACGGAAATAAAGTAGATATATTAGGAAATGTAAAAGTGCTTGGTATAGCCTTGAATCAGTATACGATGTGAAAGGAAACAGTGCAGCATATATGTAAAAAAAAAACTATCCAGGGTGGTTGGTATAGTTTATAAATACCGTGACACTCCCCATTTCAGTTTTCCTGCTCATCTATATTTTTTTTATTCTCAATGTAGCTATTGCTTTTTAGGTTGGGGAAACACGACGTACACAAATTTTAAACAAATTAAAAATAAAAAAAAGTTATTTCGTATTATATGCCACGCTCCCTATGGTGGTCACTCGAATCCACTCTTTAATACATTTAATATAGTACAAATTCTGAGTAATTACGACTACAAACTTACTCTTGCTTACAGAACCTCTTTTTAGAACAATAAAATATTTATTTTACAATGGCTTAACTGGAACGAAGAAAAGTGATTTATGAAACCCGCGGTGCAGAAAAATTTATAGTGCGGCGCTCCAGAACACACTTCGGAATTTAAGAGATAAGGTACAGGCTCTCCTATATTTTAAATCGTTTAGACACACTCAACATAAGTACTATTTATAATGTTTAAATACTCGAATGCAAACTGAAGGCGTGCTAAAATTATTGTATTATAAACAGTTTTCTCATATTTCACTTTATCTTTCAAGATTGAAAATAGTTTTTTTTTTCTTTTTTTTTGCAAACTGAAGGTATATTTACTACTCTATGTTAATTTGCTTTGTTATACTGTTATGCCTGCGATTTCCTTAAATTGTGTTTCCTTATTTTTCTGATCCACTGTTGTAGCTGCTGTTGGGAAAGGCAGAGGCTGTTTTAAGCAACTAGTAAGTTGTTGTTTTTTCTCTCCCTCCCCTCTTTATGTTTGAAGAAGAATTCGAAGCCTATAAATTGATATCGTGTGACCTTTCTTACCATATTGGGTTACGTAGTGGCAAATAAAGAGGCGCTGCATATGCGCATGAATATGTGCAATGATATCGGCTCCACGCGGCCAGTTGTTTGACCTGTGTGAAGCCCGCTTCCCATGGTAACAAAACGCACTGTTTTTGTTCTTACATGCAAAGTTCTTTGACCAGGCGTGATGACCCTGGTCAGGCTCAGGTCGTAATCCATGGTCATACCTTCCTGCTTAATATATGCGCAAATGGCGATTCGTCGCCTGCATTCCAACTTCACAGATGGTAAACGAAAGAAGATTCCTGTTGAGCGAATGTGGTCGCTGGAAAGTGTGGATTTACGTGGCGAGGCGATCGCCAGGTATTCCTGCGAGGCTCTCCAGGCAGAGGAACAGCACTCACCCCAGGAAGAGTCTTCTGCTCGTGGAGGGCGTGTTGAGCCTTGATGGCACTTTCCCGGGCACAGTAGGTGAGGAATGCGCAGCCTGCAAACAGAGAAGACGGGACGCTCGTCACCAACCTACGCTCGTAATACAAGAGGCACCAAAGGCTCTCTTTCCCTGACAGGTTTCTGCCGAAAATTAGTGGAAGGATATTCAACTAGCACCAGTCTCAGACACGGCATCTTTCGCGGTGCACTTATTGGCGGCGCGCGCGAACTACAGGGAGCGCTTCTCTAGCTATCATCATCGCCGTTTGTGATGTTACGGGTAGGACAGACTGGGCCAGACCGCGCCGATCCTTGATCCGTCGGCTCGTCAGCTCGCTTCATGCGCTGTTTGGGTAACGCGCGGCAAAGCCTGTTTCACGCGTTGTTTTTTTACAGCTGAGCTGTTAAGGGCTACTTTCCCCAGTATCGTGTTAGCGGGCAGACAAATGTCGACACAAAACTCTGGACAGCTACCGCCATCTATTAGCGACGGCGGCAAACTTTCAATTTTTTCCACTCTGGCTTGCCAACTTGCCGCCGGCCATTGCTTCATTTCCGCCATAGTACAGCTTCGCTCGTCTTCCTTCTTCACGAGAGTAGAAAGGCTGAAAGTTTACGGTGAAAAGATATTTGTAGTAGGATATTTTACCGAAGCTTGAAACTGCGTCACGCGTAGTCGTGCCATCAAGCACTTTTGGCGCTGAGGTATCAAAGCGCTGGGATGGTGGTGTGCTATTCTCTAGTCCAGTATAAAAGGCTGGATGATGAAAATATAATATCCAGCGCTTTACCCCACTACAGCACCTTTTACGGGAAATAGGGTGTATCTATAATTATTCGGATAAAATAATACTCAGCAAGGTATGTCTAATCAAATTGAAAACAGGAAAGCAAAATTGGAGAACCTCTCACGTGTGTTGTAAACACTTCAGTGAAATACTCAGTGTATCCAGGTGGTTCCAATGCATTTTGTGAGTGCTGGTCTCTTATTACTTTCAAGTTTAATACTTTTTAAAAATTCTGTAAACCAGTAAACGAAGATTTCCTCAGAATAACTGGAAGGGCTGGTAGAAGTGGTGGCTGGCATCCGGAGTCGCTTCATTCACCCGGCCGACGCGAAACGTGCGAGATCACCTCGCGATCGATGTCTTAAAACTACTAAGTTGGTGACACTTGAGCACCCCCCAAAAAATGAAGTGTACACCCGCTATAAATTGCTATCTAATTTTACGAACCCTAATGCGCATAATGCGGGATGCGCTTCTCAGCGAGCGATTTGAAATTTGTAAACAATTCTTAGAATTAGATCGAACAAGTTTTTTAAAAAATCGCGTGAATTTTCCGGTCCATTTCCGGCAACTTAAGGATTTATTAAAAAGTCACCTTTTCTCTCGAGCAGAAGTCGCGATGCGATAAACTTCCTTGCCGCGTATTAGATGCGGGAGGAGCCAAGCGTCGGTTGCTGACGAGCACTCGCTCGGCAGCAAGTGACGAGCTACACTTGGATTGAAGCATCGGTGTTGGCAAGTTCAATGTAGCTTTGCAACAGACCTGTACGCGCGTGCACAGTTGAGGAAACAGCGCGTAATTTGCTTTGGTGAACGCCAAAAATGTCTTTGAAAATCAGCGTCTACATTTCCGAAAAGACCAGAATCAGAGAGGCTGTGAATAGCCCGGACGCGCGCTGCGCAAGCTGTAATGTGAAGCACTACGCTTGTTTTTAAACATTTTAATTTTTTTTTGTATACAAAGCAAACTTCGAGGCGCTATTATTCATTAAAAAATATCACTCACAAAAACGTTAAATGTGTTTATTTAATAAATAAGCCGTTTTAAATGGCATATATATGAACTAACATAGCCGCTCTGTGATTCGACATAGCGAGTCGACTGCTGGCGTCCTACCTGTTCCGTCACAGAAGGGCACCCTCGAGGTGGCGCCACCAAAACAACGTCTCGTCTCTAGTACTAAGCTGTTGGTGAGATGGGATTTTGTTCTTTCTTCGGTCCAAATTTGTTGCGCGATTGAGCCCAATGGCTAAAGCAAACAGTTTCCAGATCTTTCAAGCGTGTGCTCACGATCTTATAGAATGTATTGATGTCTTTGAACTCAAAAGTAAACGATAATCAAGTTTATTTTCTTATTTTTTTAAAACACCTTTTAAGTTTTCTTTTTTTTTATTTGCGTGACAATTTCGAATTCATTTTAACGACTTACCCACCTGTGTGTTTCTTCCCGAGTTCGACTGTTTGCGCAAGATTGCGTCACTTATTATTTTTCGTAGTAAGACCAACAGCCAAGGCTTTCGTTCCACCTTGACGCATAAGCGCATTGTGTTCAACTTGGCTAATGACGCTAAACCTGTCCAAAACAAAGAGTATGCCATATACTGATTGTTCATCTTCAATTATAACCTCATACTTTCTAAATAACAATGTGATTGGAGTCACTTCTACGTATGACTACCTAGGTATTAATCTTCAGCCTGATTTAAAATGGCACTGCCACATTAATCTCACTCGTGCATATGCTAATCGTTCTCTTGGACTCATCCGGGGCCACCTTAAACAAGCTCCTGCTCACCTAAACAAAAAAAAAAACTTTCCTACATCACTCTAGACTGGCCCAAAATAAAATATGCTTCTGTTATTTGGGATCCTGACCAAGCCTACATCATAAATAACGATTATAATGCAATTAGGTTCAAAGCTGCAAACCCCTGCTGTTAGTTTTACTTTTTTCAATTATTCACTGTTGCCTAGAATCACAGAATTAAAAAAATATATATATCCCTAATTGCAACCCTTATCTGATTGCCGAAAACTCACTCGTCTGACACTGTTCCATTAACTTTATCACCATAGCTCGCTTCACGATGATCTATTTCAGGCACCTCCCATTATTTTTTTTACGCCGGGATAACTCATATAAAGTTAAACGTATCACATGCCAGTCATCTCTCTGAGCTCAAGAGTTCATGTAGCGAACAATACCCGATTTGATTGACCTGCCAGCACATACAACGAGTGAACGTAATCAAACAAAATTTTGAGAATACATGTGCACTGACAAATAGCATAATATTTTTCTTCTTTTGTTTTCTTCTCTTCACTACTCCTTTCTACTCTACTTATATATCTCCTTTATTGTTTTCGCGTGTTCTTGTCCATCTTGTTTTCATTCATATTTACTTTCTGCATTCTTATGTACCCCCCCCCCCCCCCCCCTTCCTTCCCTTCTTATGTATTACCCTGCCTTCGAGGGCATTTAATGGTATTTTTAAATAAATAAATAAACACATTTCTGCTGAATTGACAATCACTCCAGAGTGCTGCAGGACTTTCCCGGCTCACAAATCATTTAAGAAGTCTAGGACATCGAGGAGCAAATGAAACAGGAAGATCGGCCCATTATATATAGTTCTTCCATCTGCTATGGTAGTTCTGTGTTTACCTGCGCACATACTCTGGCATGCCTGCAGCCTAAAAAAAAAGCCGTGCCCCAGCATCTCATCCGTATTGGTCGAAAACACCAACAGTATTTTTAACTTCTGGAAAGTCAGATATTCTAATATGCAAGCACCGTATTTGGTCGTGTCGGGATGTTGTGAAGTGCGAGTCGAACCGAAACTGTTGCTAATCGGTTCCAATATGTTTTGCGCGGCACTACGCCGATAGGATCACTTCGGTTTTGCGAGAGGTCTATCGCGCTTAGGTAAACACAAAGGTGTCTTAGAATAAGGGGCTCCAACGACCCCAATCAGGTTCGGGCGTCGCGCTGCGCATGCGTAGTTTCACGCATGCTACGTGCGACGCCCCAAGCTGCTTAGGTCACCAAGAGCATCAGGGCCTTCGATTCTACCAATCCCGTCGTTCAGCCGTAGCTAATTGTTCCTGCGCAGATATTGTCTCTATAGAGTCGAACTGTTCTTGCCTCGTCATTCCCTGGATGCGCTTCGTACGTCGTTTAAGGTGAAGCAGCGTGCTGTGCGCAGACGTGTTTAAGGCGTGGCAGGGATTAACTCCGTTTAGATATTTCTACATTATCTTCTTTGTTTGTGTTTTTCAGCTGATATAGGCATTACAATAAAGATTACTGTCGGCTAGCAGCGCTCACCAAAAGCGGCCGCCTTCTCCGATTATTTGTTCGCATTTGCGGCTGTTTGGTTGCCCGCACGCGGTCTCGCCGACCTTTGGGCGGCGACTGGAGCAACGAGCGGGACTGCTGTGCTCCCTGTCGCACTCTGCAGAGCAATCATTGAGCAGGCGGGGCAGAAAATAGGCTTTGTGGTGGGCTACCAACGCGTCTCAAAGTCACCGTGTAAATCTAAGCGGATTTGAAGTGTTATCAACGAAACAGGTTGAACAATTAGAGTTGCGCAAATAGATGTTTAAATCCAATATCATCGCTCCATTCACAACATTTACAAGCAGGGAACGTCACGCCAACAAGTTTATTTCGCAGTGTTTAAGCTAGGAATAAAACTGAACCATTTGATTTTATCGATCTATTAATCAACCCAATAGCTTAGTGTCATTCTTAGTTCAAACTCGCGAAAATAACTTTTTGGTGTGTCATACCCTGCGACGTAAAAAATGTGATCAAACAGTCAATCGATCAATTACTCGCTGAACTGTTCGATCGATCCATTGATTTATTAGCACCAGATCTTCCCGCCCATCTGGAACTGCCTCGCTGCAGTCTTGGTACAATGTGGAGGGCAAATTCATCTGCTCCTTGCTCGGGGGGTAGCGGTGTCGTCAGAACGCCGAGCCGTGATTGGCTGATCGCGACCCCTATCTGAGCGTCGTCTGCTCCTTTGCAACGTCGTCTGCTCGCAGCATCGTCTGCTCGCAACTTCGTCTGCGTCTGTCCTACCTCTCCTGCGACTTTCGGAAGTGCAGGTCTTTACGAGCGAGCTCGACTTCGCCTGTCAGAGAGGGCAGACGAAATAACTCGAGTGGTACGTTGTTTTTGTCTAACAACTAGTAGACGCGTATGAAGGAAGGAAGTCAAAGGACTCGATCACTGGCGAGGTTTTTCGAGGCGCCGAG